ATATATACATATATGTATATATATATATATATATTAAATTTATATAATAATCTACGGAAAAATACATAGTTTTATTATTTTTTTTTATTTTAAAAACATAGTTTTAAAATTAAATTTTACTTTCTATAACATAAATCTATAAACCAAAACCACTTCATGACCGGTTAGGTTTGTGTTCGTATCGGTTGGGTGATGACTGATGACAGGCGCATAAGTTTAGTTTATTTATTTATTGCCATGTAATTTTGAGGCAAACAATTACTTGCTTAAAAAGTAAACAAGACCTTTAAACGTGAGAAAAAGTTTGTTCTAGACTCTAAAATGATAATTTTGAAAGTTTATTATCTAAAATATGAATTAGACCAGAGTTGGTTTCATATTAATGGAATTTTCCCTTAAACAATTATTGAGAAAACAGTATAGTTTTCCTATGCCTGGATCGCTGTATAAGCCGACAAGATTCCCCTGTATAGGCCATTCATTTTACATCCTTGTGAACCATTACGCAAGTTCATACGACACAAGTGCGTACAGAATTGCACAATAATTCACAAGACTGTCTACCCTCTTAATTATTTCGTATTTATAGGATGCTGGCGAGACTCATACTCCATCATACATCCAACAATTCATCTTCGATAGCCCGATCCTCCCAATCCTACTTAATTTTCATAACATGGCCGACAACTCCTCATCATCAAATCCATCGCACTACAACAAAATTGGGTTTATAGGACACCCTCAGTTTCTAAGTGTTCCAATAGACCGTTTTATAGAACTTAATTTATAGAAACAAAATATAAAATGTCTTATCTAAAGGTGTTGTAACAAGTTTATATGACGCTTTTGGATGTCTTAACAAGTTTTTTAGGACATTTTTAATATAAAGTGTTGCATTAGCAACTTTATATGACACTTTTGAGAAAAGTGTCCTATAAACTCAATTTTTTATTAGGACATTTGTTTTTATAAGACAGTTTTTCAAATAGTGTTCTATAAAGTTGCTAATTGGACGCTTTATATTAAAAGTGTCCAAAAAAAAACTTATTACGACATCAAAAAACGTCATATAAACTTATTACAATGCCTTTAGATATGACACTTTGTTTTTTTGGTCCTATAAACCAAGTCTTATAAAAAGGTCTATTAGTACCCTTAGAAATTGAGAGTGCCCTATAAACCCGATTTTTTTTTGTAGTGTCGTCTTCACAAACAATGTCAATAGAAGAAAAAGATCAATACAACAACACAAATAAGAGATCCTCACACTAACTAAAGGGCGGGACCAGATCTTGTCACGAGACGAGAGGCTCTTGGAAGGGATTGAATAAAAACAAAAGACTATAAAAAATCCGCATAGAAAGATTTGAATGGACAACGTTGCTACCAATGACCTTGTCATAGAGTTCCCGTTACTTCAAGCGGAGATAACGAGAAAACAATAATAATGTAAAACACTTTATCCTTACGTCTTGCATGTCCAATAAACAATGCTTGCAATATTCACTCGTCTTGTTTCAGACTTATCAATAATATCATTTTGCATATCACATTATTTTAATTTTAATATGTCAATAAACATTTTTATCCCTAATGCATAATTATTGAAGAACCATACATCTGGTCATGACATGAACATCGTTAAAGATTATTTTCTAACGGTTATGAGTGAATTTTCATGTCTTTTTAATGCGTAACGTTATTAAACTTTTCGGTTGGTGGTCACGGGAAACGTCCCCTTCTTGGTCCCCCGCCATATTGATCACGTATAACTCACCAAAACTAACTCACCTAGCCGGGGGTGGGTTAGAGGGGGCAGGGGTTGGGGGTTTCCGACCATGGCTAACTCACCATAGCTAAAGATGATATCGTAGGAGTTGAAAACTTGTTAAAATTACCATCTAACAAAGAGTTAAATGTTAATTAGTAAGAAGTTAAAATAGATGATATCTTATTAGTTATTAATATTTTATTACTTGTTAATTGTTAAATGTGAATTATTAATAATTAATAAATGTTAATTACAAAGGAGTTAAAATTGAACAAATTCTAATTTTTTAGTTAATTGTTTATTTTGGAATAGTTAATTATTAATAGTTAATTGTTAAGATAATTGTTAATGATTAATTGTTAATTATTAATAGTTAATGGATAAACGTTAATTATTAATTGTTACTAATCACTCAATATCAAATTTAGCAAGCCGGTTGGCCAAGCCAATAACATTACGCAAGCCGAGGGCTTAGCGACGGCTTGCGTAATGTTCTTTGTTTGCCATAACTTTTTTTTTTTCCTGAAATTAACAATACTTACGTATAAAATTAACAGTACCTACAGTAAAAAAATAACACTAAATCATTAACAGATCAAAAAATACATATTAAAAATCTAAACCCTAAACATAAACATTTTCATTGGAAGTTACTATACCAAAATGATATTCTCGTCTGCCATTGCAAACACTACTAGAAAACTGGGTATTTTCGACGGACGAAATCCGTCGGAAATTTACTGGTGGATTACCAGCGGATTACCGTCGGACAACAAAAAAATCAACTTTTGTTGACTTCTGTTGGAAATCCACCGGTAAAATTATTCTGATAATATTTCCAGCGGATATTGTAATTAATTATTTTAGAATAGTTTTAAATCTAATTACAATAATCACTGGCGCCATCCGGTGGCCGTATCCGCTGGAAAGTAAGATTTCCGGCGGAAAAGATGCCCTATTTGGTAGTGAGATCGTGATAGAAACCATTGGAAAAAGCTTGTGCTGGAGAGATAACTGGACTAATTATGTAGTTTTTTTTACAGCGGTAAAAAGCGTATCAATACCCCGTGGATATTTTATCCATATGGGGCTCAGATCTCGAGAATTCAAACATTACGCAAGCTGCTTAATGCTAGCAACGCAAGTTACGTGGCAATGCAACCCATGCCATATAGACTATCCAAGTAGATATTACACAAGTGACATTTATCCAACTTATACGGTATTTATTTCTCTAAATTATATCGAAAAAAATGGATTATACAACGAGTATATATATGCTCATTTCATGACCTCTGCAAAGAAATTTAGCAATTTGTACACTAAATAACAAGGTAGGTCACATGCTTGTGCAAGATTGCGTATACTCATCGTTTCTACAATAAAACTTCATTAAATATTATAACATAATCATGGTATAATTTATTTAATTTAAATTTAAATATTTTGAACATATAAAATGGGGTTTATGAGACGTTCTAAGGGGTTGTTTACCAAACGCTTATCTCGGTAAGCACTTATTAAGTCTTATTGCCTTACTGAATCAATATGACAAGGACCAAAAATCTTACCCGGTAAGAGCGAAGACAAAGACTGAGAGTCTTACATGGTAAGTGACGACGACGACTCTTACTACGGTTAGCATTTTACCAGGTTAGTTGTTACATACGATACCGTTATGGTGGACATAAAATCTTACCCGGTAAGTAATTGATAGTTTTGATTTTTCCGGTAAGCACTTACCTGGGTAAGTGTCGGTAAACAGCCCCTAAGTATCATAATAGATCCCTTTATACTTCTAAAGTTTATAAAACCAAAAAATAAAATGTTTTATCTAAAGATGTATTATTAAGTTTATATGATGTCTTAATAAGTTTTAGAACATTTTAAAAAAAAGTATCCTATTTGCTAATTCATAACTATAAGGGTACTCGCACAATGCAGCGAGATACATCTTAATTTTAGTATTTTTTTTTTGTTTCAATTGGTGTTATAATACGGTTTTATGTGATTTTGAGAAAACGATAATGTTTTTATTTTTGAAAATATTGATTTCATACCAAATTAATTATTTAAAATTTCTATTTTTTTATGTATTTCTTTAATTCATTTTTTTTATTTTTTGTTTAATAATATAACTTTTTATAATGATAATAATTAAGTATTTTGTTAGAACTAAATGATTATCCTAATTAAATTTAGATTTTTTATATTTAAAATAAGATATTTATCCTCTATTTGATTATGTTTATCTGCAGTTAGTTACACGAATTCAAACATGAAGCTTTAATAAATTATACATACGCGCAATTTACTTGTAATCTTGAATTTTAAGTAATATGCATCAATAAACAGTAATTCATGCATAAAAATGATTTTTAAAAGTTTTTATCAAATGTTTTATAATATAGTATAGATTAATATCCTTTTAAAAAGTGTTATGTAAAAACATATTCTTATAGAATACTTTTTTTATAAGACACTTTTTTAAATATTCTCCTATAAAATATATAACACGATTAAAAAATATTAAAAAGAAATTGTTTAGAAGCCCGGCCATAAGACTCGTACAAACTTATTGCAATACTCTTAGATAAGACGTTTTGGTGTTTGTTCTTATAAATTTAAGGGTCCGTTTGGTTTGCAGGATTGTTTTTAAGGGATTCGAATTTCGTGAGGGATTTGGATCGAAATGGATTTGAAATCATTGATGTGTTTGGTTTGTAGTATTTGGAATAGAATTAAATTCCATTATTTATAAATAATTCATACAAAAAACTATAAATAGTAATAAAAATAATTAAATTACATTTTTATTAATCGATTATTAACAAATAAAATGTTTTTAACATTTTATAAAACCTTATTTTATACAATCCTACGAAATCCAATGAAATCCCGAACATCCCCCAAGGTTTTCTAAATCCTATGTTTATAGGATTTCAATCAAATCTGGACAATACAACAAACCAAACATAGAATTGAAATAGATTTGAAATCCAAATCCATTCAATTCCTACAAACCAAACGAACCTAATTCGTATAAAGCAATCTAATATGAATTTTATACAGTGTCGGATAAACCCAATTTTATTATGATATCTTATTGACCAAAATTATCATCTTCATGATCAATCAACTCCCATGAACCATCCTCCTGTTGAACCATGCTATTATTCTTCTCACACCACCATGAAACTGGCACACCGTATTCATCCTTCAAACCATCCAAATGCTTGTTTACAAGTGAGATATTACGACTCACTTCGAGCTTAAACCCTCCTTTACTTCCCTGTGTACCTGCAACTCCATGCATATAACCCTCCAAGCTATGCCAACTCGACAAACTCCCCGGACTCTTTAAGTATTCGGATTGCGTTGTATCTATTCCCAACTCAATCCCGACGTCTGAATACCCGATCAACGGGTAATTCGGAACCACGTCTGATGCATTGCGAATCCGCAGGGCTCGAAGATCTGTTTGTGAGTTGAAAACTTTCCGGAAGTTGGAGTCGCCCACACGAGGGCTAGCGAACGCGAAGACCGTCACTGGGCAGGCCTTGTTTGGCATATCTTTTGGCTTGTTGAGTCCGTTTACGATTACGTCGATCGCATTTAGAGTCGCGATTGCGGCACCGAGACTGTGTCCGGTTATGGTCAAGCTAATTTCTTCGTTCTTGTACTGTTCCACCAGTTTTTTTACCTCGGCCACAACCTGATCTCTGGCACTAGTTTTATTGTAAGGCGATCTTGGATCATCGGTAGTGTAGATCGAGTACCAACCTTGGTGTATTTTGGGATCGTCGTTATTATTCTCACCGAATATTTTCGGACCCGAAACCAACGCGAATCCAAAATCGTTAACCCACTCCAAGGTCTGAATCGTCCCTCTCCAAGCGATCACAATGTCTCTCCTCCCTAACACCGCTTTCCCATCGTCTGTCGCCACCGCCACGAACCCCATCCAATTCGACTCCTTGCTCCAAGCCTCCCTCGATAACGACTTGGTGATGAACGCATCAGGTACCGCGACCGACGACGTGGCGTAAATGTACTTAGACACACGATACTTATTCAACGGACGGCCTTGGCTGATCCCAACCCTCGAAAACAGATTCTTTCGTGCATAACGGCTGCTTCCGGCGTACTTCGATACCTTAACGGAGTTGAAAGCGTCGTAAGTGGCTTGAGCCATTTCGCCATAGTGGATGATGTAGTTGCGGAGATCAGGTCCGAGAGGGTCTAACAAGCCCTTCCAGTTTGTGTCTCCACTTAGGGTTTTCCATTTCTTGGCAATGTTGTTATCCATGTGTTCGCGGACGTCCGTATCTTTGCCTTGTTTTTTTCTTCTGTGAATGAAACTCATTGGATTGCTGGGAAGGCCTACAAAAGAACGGAGTTATCGAAGGTTACTTATAGAATGGAAGTCTTAAGGTGAAATCAAAGCAATATCAAAACGTATGCAATCAGCAAGCTTTTTGTACTTTTCCTTATTTAAAGAACAAATTGCCCAAATCTATACCTATTTTTTTCCAATGGTGACTTGCATCAAAATACCTATTTGAGATCATATGAGATCAGTCTGTTTTTGTAGGATTTGGAAGACCACTTTTTTACACTTGTAATATTATAACAGAACACTGTGAAAGTAATATTCGCAGTGTTTTTATTGTGAAAATTTCGGATTTTTTACCTTCACAATGTTTTACTATGAAGTTTCAAGTGTAAAAATGTAGTTTCACATAAACATGATGTTTGAAATGAACATCTTAATGGTACTTTTCCTCTTGTCCTTGTGGTTAAATTGGTTACTCCAAGATTTTTAATTTTTTCAAAAAAATCTTGAAATGATCCATGGATTTTCAACAGATTTCAATTAATTACCAATTTTAATTAATTATGGGTTTTAATTAATTAAAATAAGTTTGTAATACACAAGTAATTTTATTAGTTAAATAATTGATTAAAATCTGTCGGTAATCTACTGATAATTTTATTAGGATTTTTTTTAGTTTTTTAAAAAGTTTAGAATTACTGACGGATCATCGAAAGAATTTATTTAATTAATTTTTCATCAGTAAGCTGTCGAAATTAATTGAGTTTCTTTTATTTTTAAATAACTACCAATATATATTAAAATTATGTCAGTAATTTGTTGATGATCTTAAATAATTTAAATTTTTTTCTAAAATTTATCTATTTTTAATTCATTATATTAAGTTTTTTAAATTTAATTATGTTAATTAATTTTTTAATTTTTTGGTCTGAATTTAATTAAAAAAAGTACGAATATATAAATGCGTACATATGTAGATACATATATCCGGTTCACATTTATACAACATATACGTCTTACATACATACATGCATGACATATATGTATCAAGTATATACACATGAATACATACATACATACACCTACATACATGCACGACATCTATGTATCAGTTCACATGCATACTACATATATATACATATATACATGGCATCTATGTATTAGTTCACATGTATTGGTTCATATGTATTAATTCACATGCATACTACACACATACACACACATATATATATATATATATGTATATGCTTCAGATGCATACTACATATACATACATGCACGACATCTAGGTATCAGTTTATACGCATACTTCATGTACATACATACATGCACGACATCTAGGTATCATTTTATATGCATACTTCATGTACATACATACATGCACGACATTTGTGTATCACTTCACATATATCGGTTCACATGTATTATTAGTTCACATGAATATGACATTTACATACATAATGCACAACATCTATGTATTCTCAGTTCACATGCATACTCCATATACATATGCCCATGCACCACATCTAGGAATCAATTCACATGTATCGGTTCACATGCATATTAGGTATACATACATATTTGTATCAGTTCACATGCATACTTCATATACATACATACATTGTAACACCCCCGTCCCGCGTGGTCAAAGACGGGAGATGCCACAATTAGGATAAACACAACACGCTATATAAACCAGAGCAGCTAATAAAATTTACCAAAAGATAATTACATAACCACAAACGGAGATAACGTGTCTCAAAATACGGTCCCAAAATACCAGTATATCTACATAGTCATCAAAAGTTTAACAAAAGTATGATTTAATGGGTTATCTTCAATATTGTCATCTCCGTAGCTCTCATCCCAAAATCCCTGCTAAGTCATGTACCTGCCGAGGACAAAAAAATCTCGGCTGAGCTTAATGCTCAGTGAACGGATAATAATAATTAAACAATGAATATGAGATAACAAGTTCAAAAGCAATTTATAAAGTCAAGTGATAATTCAAAAGAAAGTCAAAATGCCCCAAAAGCATATCAAGGGTCCGAAGACCAAACTGCATCACGAGGACGCATTGTTCCCAAAGGATGATCAGTCCAGGCACAAGTAAGGAAAGAGGTGTGAGCACAACACAGCAATCCTCTCCGTGGATTTAACCACGGCCATAATTCAATATCCGACAAACGGTTCCTAGGATCGATACATACGCCCTCTATTCGACCGGTACATAATCAAGTCCACTTTTAAGGACTATAAAAATAAGGACGCCATGATCGTTTTAGTTACCATAGAAACATCTCAATACTGGTGCTCCAGTTATTGAGTCTATAGTAAAATGTTTCACAAATGAAGCAATAAAACAAGTCAAGCGATCAAAATGATCCATATTCCGAATAAGAATATAAGTCGTAGTTCAAAAGAAAACAAAGTTCAATAATATTTGATAAGCATAAAGGAAATTCAGAACAAATTATTCGGAATTTATCACAGATTATCCGGATTATGAAGCCTTACGCAAATGGCTATCCCCATGTCAAGTGAGATATGGAATCCGTACCTTAACCGAATTTGACAATTAACGCACGATCAAACGGAAATTCACGATCAAGTTTGATTTGTCCGCGTGTCTAACGAATGCATAACCGGTTACTATTTACAAAGCATAAAAACCATAATATAACTATTCTAATAAAATTACTTAGTTCTTAATGTACTTAAACAACGTAGACTTCAAGAAGGACAGCCGGATACGAATTGAAAACTCAAACGTAAAACTTAGCATTATTCTCTTTCGATCCAACCGTTTCCGACCCTCTTATTTATAAGCATTTTTATCTTATTTAGAGACCAATCCGGATTATATTTTCTAAATGAAAGTTGTAGATTGGTATCATACGAGTCTAATGCTTTTGAAATCATATCATTTGGATCATCCATCTATTTTATATGAATTTTACAAAACTGTAAATTAATTCCGAATACAGTGTAAACAGCCTCAAAAACACACTGTTTCGAGCCACTTAGAGTCATAACTGGAATTTTGACCCTTAATGAAAGTTGTAGTATGCAGTATGATCTTCCTGACTGAAAAATACGAGCTTAATCCGACTTACGGTTTGTGAGTTATACACTGTCAAAGTACGGGAGTTACATTGTGGTAAAATTCGATTCCGTAATTCCCGACTTACTTTTATGATTTGCTACATTTACATGCTATAAACGTACTTCAACATACTAAACAGTAAAACAAGTCTAATAGTCATTAACCTAAGCTTAATCATGCATTTTTACTCCTTTCGACATTTAACCGAACAATTGGTGTACGGTTAAACATTTACCCACAATCTAACTATAATGAAACTATAATATACCATTTTCATTTCTACATCAATATAACCAGTCCTAGCATCCTAAACATCAAATATATCATGATTTTGACAAAATCAATCCGTAAACCTAGATATAAACATAGTTTATAAACCGGTCTAAATAACTCTACAATAAACACCTTGATGAAACTGAATGAAACTTATACCTTTAAGAAGGGTTCGTAAAGTGGATTCCGAATATATAATTGTTGCTTCGATTTCCTTAGTAACTTGACGTAAAATTCAGAGAGAAGACGAAATATTTAAAAGAGAAATGAGACGAGAGAAATACAGAGAATGGAGGGCATGCCGGCTCATCACCGCCTCTCCAATGCATGTATATATATATAAATTTTTTTAATATATATATATATATATATATATATATTTTTAAACTATTTGGCAGTTTTGACCATTCAAGTTTATATTCTCAACTTTTACGTCAAATTAGATATAAACTCATTTTTTACGCAAAACTCGTCTGAAGTACAAATTGGTATAACATAGGGTACAACTATGTTATGCATAATTCTACCAAAAATTTAATTAACCCAATTGTACGAGTTAACGAAACACGGATATTATAATCCTCCCCTCCTAAAAAAAATATTTCGTCTTCGAAATTTAGATAGGGTTAGAGGATTTACGTGATTCGAATAGATAAGGGTACTCCTTTCGCATAGATTCATCGGTTTCCCATGTGGCTTCTCGCTCATAATGATTTCGCCATAACACTTTAACGAACGGTATTGACATTCGTCGCATTTGTTTCTCTTCTCGATTAATTATCGCCTCGGGTTCTTCAATATAAGAGAGATCTTTTTCAATTTTATCCAACGGATAATCAATCACATGGAGAGGGTGATAATGATATCCGCGGAATGACGAGATATGTAAAACGTTATGGATATGTGATAGTTGAGGAGGTAACGCTAGGCGATATGCCACCTCTCCAACACGTTCCAGTATTTCGAAGGGTCTGATATATCTTGGACTAAGTTTATCTTTAATTCCAAACCTATGAATACTTCGTAACGGTGAAACTTTTAGGAAGACATGATCACCCGTTTGGAACTCTAAATGCTTTCGATGCTTGTCAACGTAACTTTTCTGCCGAGATTGAGCCTCTTTCATTTTCTGTTTTGCGATCTCGACTTGTTCAGTAGTAATCCTGACAAGTTCGGGTCCTTCGATAGCTCRTTCCCCCACTTCATTCCAACAGATCGGTGTTCTACACTTCCGACCATATAAWGCTTCGTACGGGGCCATGCCGATACTAGCTTGCCAACTATTGTTATACGCGAACTCCACAAGATATAGGGACTCGTCCCAACCACCAAACCACTCAAGAGCACAAGCCCATATCATATCTTCTAGAGTTTGAATAGTTTGTTCAGTCTAACCATCTGTTTGTGGATGAAAAGCTGAACTCATAGTCARTCGYGTACCCCAAGCTTGGTGAAGAMTYTTCCAGAATCGAGAAGTGAATCGCGGATCTCGATCTGATGTGAAAGAAACTGGCGTGCCATGTAACCTCACGATTTCCCGCTGGAATAGATCGGACAATTTACTAACAGGGTACGTCTCCTGTATAGGTAGGAAATGAGCCGATTTTGTCAAACGGTCAACTACTACCCA